TGGGAACCACGGCGGGGTTGGATCAAGGGTTGGGCTGGATGGTCTCAGAGGTCCCTTCCAACCCAGCTGATTCTGGGATTCTGTGTGTCCCTCTTGGTGTGCCTGTGGGTGCTCACCTGGGTCATCTTGTCCACGGACACGGGGATGCCGTCGATGGTCAGGGGGGGCAGCTCCGAGTTGACCTCCTGAGGCGCGGGCGCGTGTTCCGCCAGCGCCGACTCCAGGTCCTCCAGGATGGTGCTCTTGTACTTGCGGACCTGTGGGGGTTGTTAAGCTCGGGTAAACAACGTGAGGAGCACCGGGAGAGGGCAGGGACCTTCCCTGAGGTGTGACAGAGCCACAGCTGGCAGGAGATACCCACGGGCACCTGAGCCTTGGGCGAATGGAAGGGCTGCTGATGAAACAGGGAGAAACACCGGCAAGGGAAGGGTTTAGGGGGTGAAAGGGAAAGTTCTGAGGCAAGACTTGACATGCTCAGGGTCTGCTTCGTTTTAGGTCTGGCCTGCAACAAGGGGCAAGGACTGACAGCAGAGCTGAGTTCAGACAGTCCACAGTTTGGGGTTGTTCATCCTGGAGCAAAGGAGGCTCAGGGGGGACCTTCTGGCTCTGCAAGTCCCTGCCAGGAGGGGGGAGCCGGGGGGGATCGGGCTCTGCTGCCAGGGAACAAGGGACAGGATCAGAGGAAATGGCCTCAAGTTGCACCAGTGGAGGGTCAGGTTGGACACCAGGAGGAATTTCCTCATAGAAAGGGTGGTGAGGCCTTGGCAGGGGCTGCCCAGGGAGGTTTGGAGTGCCCATCCCTGGAGGTGTCCCAGGAAGGCCTGGCCGTGGCACTCAGTGCTCTGGGCTGGGGGACAAGGTGGGGATGGGGCCCAGGGTGGATCCATGGGCTGGGAGGGCTTTTCCAACCTCAGGGATCCTGGGATTGTGTGATCACTGCCTGCTCCCTCTCCTGTTTACTCCAGGATGTTCAGCTGGTGAGATGTGCCAGGCCACCACTCACGCAGAGAAGGGAGGACCTCAGTGTGTCCTCACGTCACAGAACCACTGAGGTTGGAAAAGGCCTCTGAGATCACCGAGCCCACCCACAACCTGACCCTGCCAGGTCCACCACTGCCCCTAAAACCTAAACCCCTGTTCCCAGGGTTCTAAACACGACTCCCAGGCTTGCAAGGCTGCCCTGAGCAGAGCAAAACCCGCGGAGAAGGCGAGGAAGTCATCCCCTAACCTCCCTGGAGACACCTACCACGTTCTCCAAGGGCGCGGCCCCGAACACTTTGAAGACAGGGTTGGGTTTGGAGGGTGAGATGCAGAGCACGATGGCCTGCTGCCCCACCCGCGTGGTGTACTCATCCAGCGTGGCTCGGAGCTTCCTGCAACACAGGGAGGGACAAACCAGGGGATGGGTGTCAGCTGAAAGCCCTGGAGAAACACGACCCCCCTCACTGTGAACCCCTTTTCTTCACGCTGCTCGTTCACCAGGCAGGTGAGAGGCAGAGCCCAGCTGGGCAGGTTGGCCCCATCCATACCCAGGTTATCCCTGCTGTGCTCCCTGCCCTCCCCCAGCAGCTCAAATGTCAATTATTCCCCCTCCTCTCCTTTTCCCAGCGAGGTAAAAAGAGAAAAAATCCGCAGAGCAGCAAAGCTGGGGCAGCAGGAGGCTGCACTGCTCTGCCTCAGCAACACAGAACTTGGAGTTTGTCGAGTCACTCGAAGGATTCAGCAAAAGAAAGCTGCAAACACGAGTTATTCTACATCCAGATCATAACAGTGCGGTTCTCTAGTGCCAAAGTCCTGCCCAAACCACAGCTGTGAGAATTCCAGCTACAGGACAGGCAAGAAGCAGAAATATTGCAACAGCTCAGCCCAGGAAACCCAGGTGTGCACCCAGCTCAGCAAGTCCCTTTGGAACGATCCCTCCGTGGGATGAAAGTGTTCCATCAGGTCCTTTCTGCCTCTTACTCACTTTTGGGCAGTGCAAGAGGACGTGGCAGAAATGTTGGGAGGAAGGCCTAAAGCAAGAGGCCTAAAGCATTTCCCTCAGAAAACCTGAGCTCTCCACAAAGTGACAGCTCAGTCCCTGCCCTGGTCACCCCAGAACCTGCCAAAAAGCACCACCACCAGGAGCTGCTCAGAGATCCCAGGATGAGGAGTTTTAACTTCCCACTTGATTCCCAGGGGTGTGGAAATCAAGCAGGAACACATTAAACTGATCTGAGTGCCAAAAAAAAATGATGCCTTTTGTCAGTATCTTCCATGTGGTAAAATGAAGCAGTTTTGTGAAGGGAGGAGAAATAATTCCTTCTTTTAAAATATAATGTTCATATTTCAAGGGAGAAAAGAATTTGCTCTCCAGAAACGTGGCTGAGTCAGCAGAGTTGGGGGAAGGAGGGAAAAACCCAGGGTGGAGCTCTAAAAGGAAGGGATTTCACTCCCAAGGAAATATTATTTAACACTAACCCAGCCCAGTTAAATCCGAAACAGCACAAAAAGCAAAAACTGCTTTGTTGCAAAACCTAGAAAACGGTACCAGCCAATATTCAGAACTGTTTCCAGAGGGTGGAAGTGCAGGTGGTGTTTCCAGGCTGGAAAGCCTGTGGAGTCCCGTCGGTGCTGCTCGGAGGCCCCCAGGTGGGCAAACAGCCTCAGAGCACCCGGGATGCAACACCTGAAGGGCTCTGCTGGCTCAAAAAGAGCCCAAAAAAATAGTGTTTCAGCTCTGTCAGGCATCCCCCTTTGATTATTCTCCTCCAAAACTGTGCTCTACAGGCCGGGGGAGCCTTCAGCGTGGAGTTTATCCACTGGCAAAGGAAATTTGCATAAACACACATTCAATTTATTCCTAGAATTGTTTCATCACACAAGAAAAAGATTCTTTCGTGAGGTAGGTAAGTCCTTCGTGCCCCTGCAGAGCTGGGATGTGGATGGAGCTCCAGGCTCTCAGGCCAGAGAATGTCAGAGTCCTGTTAAAAACTGATTTCTTTGCTCTGTGAGCAGGGACAGGCCCCAGGGAAGGGCTGGAGCTGGGCCAGGGCAGGGCCAGGGTGGATCTCAGGACAAGGTTGGATGAGTGATCCTTGTGGGCCCCTTCCAGCTCAGGGTATTCCACGATTCCAAAGCCACTACAAACACCTTTCAAGGCCACGTTACTGTGACACGTTTAACTGGTGACCAGGGTTCAAACACAGCGGTGGATCCACCAGAGGGGTCACCTCAGTGACCATAAAATCACTCCAAGGAGGAGTGGAATGCAACCCATTCCTGCAAACTGGGACACAGCTCTGGGGTTCCAGAATAAAAATATAAAATATATAAAAATATATAAAAATAAAAATGTTTCAGGGTTCCACCTAAAAAATATCTCCAGTCCCTGTAACTTCTGGACAGCACAGAGATGGATCAGGGATGCAACCTGAGGTGTCTGAGGGAAGGTGGGAATCTTTACTTGGCAAAGGTGTCTGAGGGCAGAGGGAATCCTTACCTGGCAAAGGTGTCTGAGGGCAGGGGGGATCCTTACCTGGGCAAAGGTGTCTGAGGGTGGGGGGGGAATCCTCACCTGGGCAAAGTCTGAGGGAAGGTGGGATCCTCACCTGGGCAAAGGTGTCTGAAGGAAGGTGGGGAATCTTTACCTGGGCAAAGGTGTCTGAGGGAAGGTGGGATCCTTACCTGGCAAAGGTGTCTGAGGACAGGTGGGAATCTTTACCTGGCAAAGGTGTCTGAGGGAAGGTGGGGAATCCTTACCTGGGCAAAGGTGTCTGAGGGAAGATGGGATCCTTACCTGGGCAAAGGTGTCTGAGGGAAGATGGGATCTTTACCTGGCAAAGGTGTCTGAGGGCAGAGGGGGAATCCTTACCTGGCAAAGGTGTCTCAGGGAAGGTGGAATCCTTACCTGGCAAAGGTGTCTGAGGGCAGGTGGGAATCTTTACCTGGCAAAGGTGTCTAAGGGAAGATGGGATCCTTACCTGGACAAAGGTGTCTGAGGGAAGGTGGGATCCTTACCTGGGCAAAGTCTGAGGGAAGGTGGGATCCTCACCTGGGCAAAGGTGTCTGAGGGAAGGTGGGATCCTTACCTGGCAAAAGTGTCTGAGGGAAGGTGGAAATCTTTACCTGGACAAAGGTGTCTGAGGGAAGGTGGGGAATCCTTACCTGGACAAAGGTGTCTGAGGGCAGGGGGGAATCTTTACCTGGCAAAGGTGTCTGAGGACAGNAATATCTCCAGTCCCTGTAACTTCTGGACAGCACAGAGATGGATCAGGGATGCAACCTGAGGTGTCTGAGGGAAGGTGGGAATCTTTACCTGGCAAAGGTGTCTGAGGGCAGAGGGAATCCTTACCTGGCAAAGGTGCCTCAGGGAAGGTGGAATCCTTACCTGGGCAAAGGTGTCTGAGGGCAGAGGGGGAATCCTTACCTGGGCAAAGGTGTCTGAGGGCAGGTGGTATCCTTAAGTGGGCAAAGGTGTCTGAGAGAAGGGGGGAATCTTTACCTGGCAAAGGTGTCTGAGGGCAGGTGGGATCCTCACCTGGCCAAAGGTGTCTGAAGGAAGGTGGGGAATCTTTACCTGGGCAAAGGTGTCTGAGGGAAGGTGGGAATCTTTACCTGGCAAAGGTGTCTGAGGGCAGGGGGGGAATCTTTACCTGGCAAAGGTGTCTGAGGGAAGGTGGGACCCTCACCTGAGCAAACGTGTCTGCTGCCTCTTCCTGATGGAAGGGTTGGATTCAAAGACGTGTGGTCGCTTCCGTTTCTTCCCCGTTGCCACGGCAGCGGCTGCTGCCATCCCGACAGGGCCTGGAAATCCAACCACAACGGGGGAATCAGCTCAGGCAGCTCAGGAACTGGCCAGAAAGGACGTTGCCATTGTGTGGATGTGTCCCAAGGCTGCCCATGTGACACGAATTCCTTCCCGAGCTCCCCTCTCCAGCACCCCGGAGGTTCCATCAAAAGGCTCCGTTCCCCAAATCCCAGCTCAGTCCCAGGGAAAGTCACGTGTGTCAGTCTAAAGTTTTCCTCGCAAACACGTAATTCTGAATTTTATCTTCCAGACACACTGAAAAGACGCCCCAAGACTTTAAATAAGTGGCTGAACTGAGGAGATCCCGGTGGCCTGGGAGAAGAGAGCTGGGCAAAATGCCAGGAATCCTGCTTGGACACCTCAACAGGAGCCTGAGGCTTCTCCCCAGGGATTAAGGACCGGTTCTAATGGGAAAGAAACCGAAAATCCTGAGTTCCTGGAAGTATCCTACAACAGGCCCCTGAAGACCAGCCGGGCCTGAAAAGCCTGTGTGCTAGAAGGGAAGGGGGAAAGAAAAAATCCTGCAGGATGGGAGGCTGGAAAGTTCATAAGCAAGGGCACGGGATGGTCAGCGGGGTGGGGGAACCTCCCAGGGCTGGTCCAGCACATCAAGACCTTTATTCACCCGGTGAAGTCCGATCCCAAACTCCGAGGGATTCCTGGACACTGCATTTTTCCACAGGAATGGTGGATCCACCACAAGGCCAACGTGGAGGACATTTGTTTTCTCTGGAAGGGATTTGGGATTCCCCAATACGTTCCCAGCCCAGCTATGCCAGGATCTTTTGGGGCATTTCCCTGGGAGAGGCCAAACCCGGGAGCTCCCGGCTCAGCCAGGCCTGGGTGATTTTTGCTGTTGTTTACATGGGATTTTAATTCTGTTAACTGAGGCAGAGTTTTACCAGGGACCCTTTTTTATTGTCCAAACCAGCCTCGTATTCCCAGCACCTCCATGTTACACACAGGGAGATTCAGGGAGCACCCGGAACATTCCGAGGGATGGCATCAACCTCTGCCTAAAAATTGTTTCTTTTTTGCCAGCTTTAATATAATTTCTCTAACATAATTGCTTTAATATGATTGTTTGATATAGCACATTATATTATCTTTGGAGTTTTAGCTCCTATACTGTGTAGGAAATAATTCTGATTAAGATATTTTTTGTCTAATTATTACCACAATAAATCATATATATTTACATATATATTATATATATTATACGTATCATATAATAGATAATATATAATAATACATTATATATTATATATTACATAATTATACTATTATATCTAATTTTATATATTTTCAGAAGGATATAAATAATATATTACAATATACAAAAACTTAATGTATTCAATTGATTAATGAATAAATGAAGAATAATATTAATTTATATAATATTAATTTATATAATTATATTATAATATTAATTTATAATATATTTACATTATTATATAATGTAAATTATATTATTAAATAATATATTATTTATATATTTATATGAATATATAATATAATATATATAATATAATATATAACAGAATAATATAATATTGTATTATAATACAATAGTATAATAGATGTATAAATATATTTATAAATAATATAAATATAAATATATTGCTATGATTAGATAATGTAAGTTATAGTATTAAATTATATATTATTTATATACTTTTATGAATATATGAGATAATATATATAATATATAACAGAATAATATTATACTTTATTATAATATAATAATATAATAATAGATGCATAGATATATTTATACATAATATAAATATAAATATATTGCTCTGATTAGATAATGTAGGTTAGAGTATTAAATTATATATTATTTATATACTTATGAATATATAATATAAAATGTATATATTACAGAATGTTATATTTTATCATAATATTATAATACAATATTTATTATATAATAAATATTATATAATAAATTATATAACAAATATTATATAATATATAATAAATATATTATATAATAATCATATAAAAATAATATTATATAACATTATATATAATAAATATATATTTATATATAAATATATAAATATATAAATTATATAATATATAATATATGAAATGTATATTATATATTTAATAATAATATAATATTACTATAATATTATGTTATATATTACATAATTACATTGAGATATTATTTCTATATATTATTTCTACATATTAATTTAATTATATATTATCTGCCAGCCTTAACGCTGCAGGACAAAGCTGTGCAAAGGCTCAGCCACACCTCTGCCATTCCCTGCCCTTAAACCTCTGACCAGGTCTGGGGCTGGGGAGAAGGAGCTTACAAACCAAGGAGGTCCCTCCCGCCCCCCTCCACCCGTGCCCGTGCCCCGGGCTCACCCGCGGCCGCCAGGTGAGCCGTGACCTCGTCGGCGGCCGTGGAGTTGAGGATGTCGGAGTCGTCGTAGGACGTGTCCTCGGGCGAGGAGGGCGAGTCCTCGTCGGCGCTCAGCATGCCGTGCTCCGTGTAGGTGGCCACGTGCACCTGCTGCACCTGCTGGGCCACGGCGTGCGCCTCGATGGTGGCCATGTGCTCCGCCTGCGCCACGCCGTGCTCTTCCATCCAGAGGCACTGCGGAGGGGAGACAACCGCGGCGGGGGGTAAGGACCCTGCGGCGGGCAACAGCGACCGCGGGTGCCCGGGAGAAGGAAACGACACCTGCACCAGGAACTTAAAGAGCTTGGAAAGATCCGCGCTTCCAAAGGACGCGGCCCGGCCCCCACAGGCCGCCATCTTTGCCGGAGGAAAGGTCCTCAGGGATGTCGGAGCTCCTCACGCGCTACACTGAAGGGTCTGGTCAAAGCTGGGACTTGGTTTTGCCACTTCAAGTTCCAGCTCTCAGGGGAGATGCCCAAGGGGGACACACGATTGCCTCCGACCTCAACAGCTCAGGGGCACAAATGAGGATGGCAGGACAGAATCCCAAAGTCACTGAGGATGGAAAAGCCCTCTGAGATCACTGAGCCCACCCTGGGCCCCATCCCCACCTTGTCCCCCAGCCCAGAGCACTGAGTGCCACGGCC